AGTTTCTATCTTCATTGTTTACGCACCAGCATCCAATTATGATGAAGGAGAAATTGAGAAGTTCTACATGGAGCTGGAGAAGTTCTATAAAGAAGACCACACCTTCTACAAGATCACTGTTTATGATTGTAAAGCCAAGATAGGACCGAGAAGATAAGCTGAAGAACTCCACATCAGGACCCATGGCCTAGAATGGAACGAACAGGGTGAGAGACTGTCTGAGTTCATCATGTCGACCAAGACCATCCATAGTAACTCACAGTTCCAGAAGGCCGAATCTAAACGTTGGACTTGGGAGTCTCCTGGTGGACGGTTCCACAACGAAATTGACCACATCATATTCAATCGACGGTTTGCCTGACCGATGTCGCTGTTGTCCCAAAATTCCAAACGGGATTGGAACTGTTTCCTTCATGCAAAATTCTACTTCAAAGAGTGGGAAGAAAGGGCTGCAAAGTTTAAGAAGAGAACTCCCAGAACGACCACCAACTAGGAGCTCTTTGGCACTATTGCAGCAACATGGGAAGATGCCGTCATTGACAACATTGACGAGGAATACTATTGACTGGTTCAGCACCTCCTTGATTGTGCGAGGAATCCCAAGAGAGAGATAGCCAAAAGAAAACATGCCTGTCTTTGAAAACTCTTGAGCTTATTCGCCAACATGGCTTGGCGCATGCCTCAGGCAACTGCAAGCAAACATCTGAGCTCACAAAGCTGTGCAGAGAAGCGATAAAGGAAGACCTCAAAGAGAGAAGAGCAGCAGTGCTGGTAGATGCGGCAGAAGATGGAAAAGCACTTGCAATGCCCACCTGTCCTTTGCCAACTACAAGACCAAGATGACTGTCCTCCGATGTCCTGTTGGATCTATCACATCTTCCAGAAGGGCAATGGAGAAGATTATCCATGACTTCTACTCAGATCTCTTTGAGAGTCATGTCCACCAGCCCACATACCAAATTCTGCAGGATGGATATGTCATTCCCAATGTTCTCCCTTCCAAAATCTGACACGCCATTTCGTCGGTAAAGAAATAAATAGCACCTGGCCTGAACACCTGAAGAACCTGCCATCAGTACTCATCAATACGCTGGCTCGGCTCTTCACCCGCTACCTCTCTGAATGCAAGGTTCCATCTCAGTGGAAAACCAGCAGGACTGTACTACTGTACAAGAAGGGAGACAGCCACAACATTGGCAACTATTGCCCGATCTGCCTATTGTCTGTCATCTACAAGCTGTTCACTCGAGTCATCCTGAATAGGATTGGCAGAACACTAGATGAAGGACAACCATGTGAGCAAGCTGGGTTCCGCAAAGTATTCACCACGATCAACCATATCCACATGATAACCAAGCTCATTGAGGTTTCTAAGGAGTTCAAGATGCTGCTCTGTCTAACATTCATTGATTTAAAGAAGGCCTTTTATTCTGTTGAAACGGAAGTGGTCATTGAAGCCCTAGTCAATCAGGGCATTCAAACTCAATAAATCAGGATCCTCCATGAGCTGTATTACAGATTCTCTACCAGGATCTCACCATTCTACAAATAAGTGATCATCTATGTCAAGAGAGGGGTTCAGCAGGGTGATACCATTTCACCGAAACTCTTCAGTGACACCCTTTAGAATGAAATGGGAAAGAATGGGAGTGAAGATAGATGGTCAGCAACTACACCACCTCCGCTTTGCTGATGACATGTTCTAATAACACCAAACATTAGCCAAGGGGCACAAATGCTGGCTGACTTCAATCATGAGCGTGGAAAGGTCAGACTGCAGCTGAATCTCACAAAGACAATGTTTATGAGAAACAGTCTCGTTCCTGATGTTCCATTCGCTCTCAAAGGAATGACCATCTCCGAATGCAACAGTTATGTGTACCTAGGTCGAGAAGTCAACATGACGAATGACTTGGCACCTGAGTTGCACAGGAGGAAGAGATCGGCTTGGAATGCCTTCATGAGCGTCAAAGAAATAGCTAAGAGGATGAAGAAACTCCGGCTCCGGGCACATGTTTTCGATTCCACTGTTCCTCCTGCATTAACATACACCTCAGAGACCTGGGCCCTACAAAAACAGGATGAGGACGCTATTCGGGTCTCCCAAAGAGGAATTGAAAGAGCTATGCTTGGACTATCACGTTTCACTCAAATGAGAGAAAGAATCCAGAGTTCCGACCTCCATTGACGATCAAGAATCAGGGACGCTGTCTCATTTACCAAAGCGTCGAAAATCAGATGGGTTAGACATGTAATGAGATTTGGAGATGATGCTGGACTAGAGCTGTTACCAACTGGATTCCACGGGACATCAAAAGACCGTGTGGCTGCCCAGCTACGAGATGGTCAGACTTCTTTGTCAAGAACCTGAATGATCGGTTTGAGGCTCTTCATGTTCCTAGAATGAGCTGACGCCATTGGGCTACACTAACACACGACAGGGATGAATGGTGATGCTACTGGCACCCACTCGAGCAAATCGATGAGTAATGGGATAGTAAAGTGATCAAATGATCATGTCTTCTTCTCATTTTTCATTGGAATACTTAGGGTTCCCCTTAATTTTTAGAAGCCCTTAGCTATTTTCTTTTTATGTGTCATTCACTCACTCATCATCAATGTACAACTCTGTATCTGCCTACCTATCAAATATATTCTCCTATTTTACAATTTGCCTTTTTTTTATATCGAGGTTCTGACCTACGAAAGTTGTTTGTTTTTATTTTGTTAAACTTAATCCTTTTTCCTTTTTTCTTTTCCAAATTTATTAAAGAACCGTGAATTACAAAGTTATTCGTAGTTGAGTTTTTGCCACCAGCGTCAACTTCCCTCCACCCGTGTTCCCAGGTTCCCTCTACTAACTCCCTACTCCAGTCCCAGAGTGCCATCTTGACAGGCACCTTTAAATTTGGTTATTAAAGTTTGGGCATCTTGATTTCAGTGTGGTTGACTTCGTGGTTTCGATATTTAGCTCTTTTATTCCTTAACACCACCAACGTACCTGGGTTCCCTTGACCCCTTTCCCCCGTTACTTCTCATCTACTCTTATGTCTTTCTAATTCATTCTCTTTCTTTCCTTCTCTTCCTATACCGAGGGGTCATGGGTGATCTAGGCATCCCCCCTTTAAACCACTGCATCTACTTACCCAGTTACTCCAAATAGCACATATTAAGTGATACCATCCTGTGTTTGTCCTTCTTCTGGCTTATTTCATTTAACATGATATCTTTCGGTTCCATTCACATTGCAGCAAATTGCATGATTTCATGATTCCTCATGCCTTTTTATTGCATCTAAAATTTTAAAGCTATTTCTCAAAGGCTTTGTCCTACCTAACATTCACTTGGGTTTTGTTCTAGTGCTTGGAATATTTCACATTTAACAGTTTAAATCTCGAATCCTCCTGTTCTTTATTGGGTATGGTGTAAAGAATAAAACTCATTTTATCTTTTTCCAAATGACTGGTTAGTTTTCTTAAAGATTTTTATCACAAAGTACACCCTAGCCCCATGTGTCCGAGGACTCTCTTTCATACACTGAACCTCCAGATGTAGTTGGTTTTTTTGGACTTCCTTTGTTTGGCTCCTTTTAGTCTATTAATTTTGTCTATCCAGGTGCTGGGAACATAATTTCTTAATTATAGAGTCTGTTTTATATTATTTAAAAATACAGTGAAACAAATAAAATGATTGATCAAACTGGTTGTCCAGGGTTTGTACACAAAACCACTATGCGACTTGATCAGTGAGCCACATTCCTTCTCTTCATGCTGCTTTTCCTGCCTCACTCAACCACAGGCAAGAAGAGATGGAACCAGCACTGTTGCTGCTATTGTTAGTGTTGTTAGAAGAGTGCCAACACAAATGGGGACAGCTGAGTTATTTAGTTTTCATGATTCTAAACCAAAGTTGGACTAGTCTTTGAAAATGTTACAGGCCCAGTTCTCCCTGGCAACCAGCAAGATTTTCTTTTGAGCGGAATACCATTTTTATTCAGGGTGGTTTCTCCTGGAGAAGGAGCGCCCCTTCTTGACGAATTCCTGTTTTCAGGGTCCCACTGTATTTTTAACGGATGGGGTTGGACAGGAGGCCATAGTTCTCCCCAGATGGGTTCTCAGAGGCTGTTCTTGCCCTGTATTTTCCTGCAGCTGCCAAGAAAGCCTCAGGACTGGAGGAGTCAAGGGAAAGAAAGGCCGGCCCCCAGCAGCCATTGAGATCACTCCAGAGGACAGCTGTGTCTGGGTTACAGTGATTAATGTGATGTTAATCCCAACAAAAACGATGGGAGAGAGGCCCTGTGAGAACATTTACAATCAATAAATGAAAAACACCGGTCCCATCAGACTCATTATCTCTATGAAAAATCACCCTGAAATTACACAAGAAGCCCAGCCATTGAGCCATTACTTGATTGGCAAAGCCCCTCCTTTTGAGCTAACTCCATGATCAGAGTCAAATTGTGAAGGAGTCCTGGGCCAGCACTCCAACAGCGGTACAGTGCTTAGATAGCCTCTGTGGATGCAGTCTCCCTTTTCACAAGGAGACTATGCAGTATGGCATTGGCTGTGGCTCATTGTTAATGCTGAGCATTGCCTCCCGGCCCCAAGGTGAGACCTAGTGATCCATCATTGGGACTGAACTTCCCAAATGGCGGGACTGAATGTATGACTTTAATTGTTTCTACACTAGCAGAATTTGTACATATATGGTAAGGGAAAATACAAGAAACAAGAAATGAAAGAAGACCCAAGTAAAATAGTGAGTTTTCTACGTTGACTAAACAGACATCTTCCTAGACCACTGGTTCCATTCTCTGATACCCAATTTTTTACCAACCATGCTTGCCAAAGCAATACTGGCAAAGTGGACAATAAAAGGAATATTGCCAAATTAACCTTCATTAGAGAAAAATGATATGAATGCTAGGAATAGGAATCAACACAAACCCTTACAGGGTGTGGGGTAGACACTCAAACCCCTCCAGGGTCCTGAGAACTCACTGTGCTGTCGATGTAAGCTTCGGTCCACACCACATCATGCTCCTGGTCAATAACTTTGGGCCGGCTGAGCACATGGAGGTATTCCATAACATTTTCCTGCACATCAGCCAAGGTGGAGATCTGGGTGAAAAACCCTGCCAAAACCCAAGGGAGAACCAAATTTAATAACAGACAGGACAACATACAACAGGGGAGAAGAACTATACCAGGTCTTTTGGCATCTAAATAATTTTTCTTTTGTAACTTTTTTTAAACATTAGTTCTCCTGTGTACCATTGTTTGCTGCATGAATAATGCATTCATGTTAGAAAATGTAGACAAGAAAAAGGAATAAAATTAAAATCAACCACCTCCCTGAGGAAACCCCTATTAATCCTTTAAAAAAATCCCCTTCCTGAAGGTCAGAGAAGTAGTATAGCTAGTAAGACAATTATTTCACATCTATTCAGGCTCAATTCCAGATGCCCCAAATGGTCCTGATTCTCACCAAGAATGATTCCTGAGCATAGAGCCAGGAGTGAGCCTTGAGCATCACCAGGCATGGCACAAAATCCAAAAACAAAAGCAAAATAAAAACACAAATGCCCTACCAGCCTTTTTTCTTTGCACTTATGTATACACACTTTAAGGCAGAAATGGGATCTCTCTATTTCTGACAGCTTGTCCCCCTTTATTTCCACTTAAGCAAATTTATTTCTAAGGGCAAAACAATAAAATTAAAATATTTGTATTTTAAAAACAATATTAAATACTATTTTAATAAAACATTATTTTAATCTAATAGGAATTGAATATAATAGCCTTTCAAAATAAAGGTTTTCTATTTTTATAACAATAATAGTAACTATTAATTTTTAGAGCTTTTAAACTGATCACATAATTTGCCAAACTTGATGAGCTTTTCTCATTTATTCTTGGCAACATGATATAGTAGAAAGTTCTGTGTCCATGAAAGATGACTGAGACAAACTGATGATGTGCTTTTTTCTTCCCTTCTCACAGGTACCAAGCAGCAAATTTAGAAGTGAATCCAGGCTTGAATCTCTTAATTTGTGCCTTGTTTTCTTCAAAAGATTTTGTTCTTTATTTGAGGCTGAACTTCTAGCACACATCTTCGTGTATTACCAAACCTTCCTGTTGAATATGCTGGGCGCACATGGGTTCTAAAACCATGGTTTTCACCTTTCTTTTGTTTTCTCACCAGCAAATGAGCAGTTGAAAACCATTTTCAGCTAAGTGGCAATCTTTTTTTTAATGGATAGGCAGGACATTTCTTCAGACATTCATCCACTGAAGTTCTATTTGAAAAATACTGCTCTAAGGAAAGTGTTCTAAACATACATCACATCATCCCAGGGCTGGGAACACTCTGATTCCCAATTCTGGGCACTGCTATATTCCTCTGCAACTTGGGTTCCATGTGCACTGCCATGGGCTAGGAGTAGCTGAGTCTATGCATCAGTACCCGTCACACATCAGCCCCCTTTCCCCTGCCACCAACACACACACACACACACACACACACACACACACACACACACACCAAGGGTCCTTTCACTTGACATTTATTAAAGCTTTTCTTCATGCTTAGAAATGCCTTCATTGCTCAGGAATCAAGATGAGTACAACCTCTGCCCTCCTGAGTTCTGGACAGAATGAGTAAACAAAAAAATATTTTTTAAGTCCAATCAACATAACACTCAAGTACACAGCAGATGTGGCCTATCACTCAATTACTCCCAGGAAGGGTCAGTGCAGTTGAACTCTGAATGGTGAGGATCAATGAGTCTGAGGGAAGAGGTATGAAAAAACATATCCAGCCAAGCAAAGAGTACAAGGGAGAAGAAGCCCACTTTTAGGAACTGAAAATAGCTCCAAGTGACTGGTTGGAACAAAGAGCTCTGGGAGAGAGAACAGAAGCAAGGAGTTCTAAGACTAAAGAACATGGTGGGGGTGGGGGTGGGGGGTGGACCTTGAAAGGATCACAGGCATTATTTAAAAGGCTGTTTTGTTTAGAAGATGCAACATGATTCAGGTTTTCTTCCATTTGTTCTGATCAAGAACCAGCCAAGCGCATGCCAGCTTCTCTTCATCCAAATCAAATGGGTACGTGTGACCCCAAAGTCAGATCCACCCCAATACTTAATACGTGTTTATAGAACCTCTTCATGTCTGAATCTAAGCTCTGGGTAAGGAAACAGCCCTTCTGTTGTCCAGGAAGGGCCGGGACCCTCCCAGGGCATTTACAAACAAAGGCCAGCTGGATTGAATTTTGTGTGCCAACCCCAAACCAGGTTGGGACCATGTGGCTTCTGGCTTCCTGATGACAGCTTTGTACAGCACTAATTAACATGCATTGTCACTTTGACTTACCCCACCCTCCAGCATCTATAGAGTCAGAGCTCTTCCTGACCCCAGGGAATCAAGGACCCAAAGGCTTACATAGGCTGTAAGTGCTTACTCTAGGTTTTGGCTCTGGACAGACCCATGCACACTTAAACAGTCCTTAAGAAGCCAGGCACAAAGTTGGGAAGATCCATCTGGGACATTGCTCCTGCAAATCTTCCAAGGAGACCCTATTAGAGATATGCTGGAAAAGGAATGTTTTAAATGGTAGAAGGTTGAGCTGGTAGTTACCTTCTATGTATGGTACTGCAAATGACTGTTTAAATGAGAAAGAAAATAATTCATCTAAATTTGGGCTTTCGGGGAAGGATTGTTGAGAGACAAACATAACACAGTGGACAAGCTAAGAGAGTTGTTGCCATGTTGATAAGAGGAGAGAGTTCTATAATTTTAGACTGACAGAGCATATGTGAGCACCTGATAGGCAAAAGAGTTCCTAAGCTAGGAGCCTACATCAATTGTACAACCAAGAAAGCCTCTCTTAGAAAGAATGTCCCTTGGCTGTCTGTATTTTCATTCTAAGTCCTAAAACCAATAGGATAAATCCTGGTATGAGTTTTTCAAATTAGGGCAAAGTGAACAAAAGCAATGAACTGAAGGAGGAGGTGGGGAAAAATAAAATCATGGAGGGGAGTGGAGAGGAAGCACAATGACACATTTGGAAGGGGATTATGCTTAGAGATCATCCTCATTTGGCCTCGCTTATCATTGTCAAACTTCTGAAAACTTACAAATAGCTGGCTTCTTTCCAGAGCTACAGACACATAGCCAACAGTATACCTGACACCTCCACAGGGATGACTCACAAAATCCTCAGACTGAACTTGTCCACAGCCAACTCCTGATTTTCCCCGCCAAACCCATCCCTCCCCTGCTGGGTCTTCCCCATCTCAGCAAATGGCGCCACTGTCCAATTAGGTTGCAAGCATAGAAACCATCCTTGATATTTATCATTTCCTCACCCTGCCCCAGACCTAACCCACTAGCATGCTTTCCTGGCCCTGCCTCTAAAATATAGTTAAAACCACTTCCCCACTTCCACTGTTCCCATTCTAACCTAGCTCTTAGGGGGATAAACTGTGGAGTTACATCAAAATTAACAGACTAAAACAAATTCTCATTTCCAGTCTTAATATTATTTTTTTAAAAATGCTTCTATTTAGCTGAAATAAAACTCACATTGCTTTCCTTACAACCAAGGCTCTCCCTGAATCATGTATCTCTGCTAATGGTCTTTCTTTAACTCTCAGGCACCAGACTTGACACCCATGAGTTTTTGCACAGACAGTAAACTCTGCCTGGCACCATATGACCTGATGTTCCATGGCTGGGACCTGAACTCATTCAGCAGTCTAAACCCACTTATCTCACTTCACCTTGCATTAAATTTCTTCAGATACATCTGCTGCTTGAATTCTGACTTACACGTCTGCTTAATTAGTTTTACTTGACTATTTGCTCCATGATATATGGCTGAGAGTTGATTCCAGTTTCATGTGGAGTGAAAGGGGCACATGTGTCTATAGGAGTCCTCAGACATGAAGGGTGTGTCTTACTGGGATTTGCTTTAGTACTTGGGTATCATAATAGTCCTTTGTATCAGGAAGTAACAGAAACACCAAATTCAGTCATTTGTTCTACATCTATTTGAGATCAAGTTCACGTGATTCCCAAACATTTCACTCCTAACCACTGCAGTGCTAGGAGAGGACAGGGATACCCAGAAGATAGGGTGCCTTGAGAGAGCACCCCTAATGGGCTACTTGTGTCTCTGGAGCAAGGAAATATTGAGATTAGGATAGAGACATAGATGACTTCTGTCTCCTGAGGTTCATAGCAAATGCTTAAGTATTTGCACCAAAAGTCTACTTAAAATTCAGAACACTGTTGTAATTTATATTTCAATAAAGAAGAAATGTAGGTATATAAAAGGTAAGAAAAGCTGAAATTATAAAAATAATATTAATAATGTACAAGCTTAATGTGAACTTGATCATCGAACCACAACTCATTAAAACTCTAAACCTTTCTGAAAAGGTCATTTTGTTTTTAAATGTTTTCATATAAGTTTGAGTTAACAAATGTACCTTTTGATGGATAACAGGAAGTCCCAGAGGGCTGGACTCTTTGGCTGAAACCATAGACACTTTCCTTGTTTTCTCTTTACATTCTCTGAACTGGCCACTTTCCTTCCATTTCCATTCTACCTCAATTTTTACAAAATTCTAGCTTTTGAATGTTTATTGTCTTCTTTAATGTGCCTTTTTAGACTTCATATATCATGTAAGAAAGTAGAATCAGCAATCATTCAGTAATTACCAAGAGTAATTAATGCTGAAATTATCCACCTATTACAAACGGTCTGCTCATTTTTCTACCTAACATCAATTTATTTGCCTTGTTCTCTCCTAAAGCCCTCTGTAAGCTCCAGGTTACCACAACCCAGTGTACTAACCACATGTAGCCTGGTATTTTATATTTCTAAAGTTTTACCACCCCATTCCTGACCTTTGGCTCATCAGTGACATTTTATTAGCATACTTCACAAATATTCTACATCCCAGCACTCCAGGAAGTTTCCTCTTCATCAGAGTCTCCAATACGTTCCTAATTTTAGCAGAAGCTCCCGTGAGCCTTTTCAAAGTCTCTTCTTACATAAATAAGACAAGGTGGAAACAAAGCCACTATTCTGATTTTCATCTTCTCAGGGAAATGAGGAAGGAATGCA